GGCATTCCGGAGTAGTGGAGCTTGGCGGGAGTTCTCCGGTGGGCGCAGCGGTCGCGAGGCTTCTTCGTTTTTCGTTGATCCGACGTTCTTGGCATTTGTTTCTTTTATGTTTTCTCTTCTGTTTCTTTTTGGGCGTGACTGTGCTGCTTTCGCCCTAACACCTATTGTTGGCTGTATCATGGTTGTTGCTTTGTAATACAAAGCGGGGGAAACCCTTTCTCGGTCAATCTTTAAAAAAGACTTATATTTAGTAACTAAGGTAGGCCGATTAAACAATGTTGTAACTTAATCCCTGGTACTACTTGATCCCTGGAAAGTGAAAAGTGAAAACAGAGTTGAATCGATCTGATATGCAAACCTAGTCAACACGTTTCTGATCCGTTGTCAAGATTCATGACTCAAAATAAGGGCCAGGACAGAGTCGTCGCCACTAACTTGTTGACCACAGGCCCGTCGAAACATGTACGTACCCAGTAGCCAGTAGCTGCCCAATGCCGAGACGTACAAGTCTAACAAAAAGCAGGCTAACTGGTACCCCTTCATTTTAAAATATAGTGTTTTTTCTATTCCCGTGCTTCAACTTTGACCTTAAATTTAACCTACGAGACCGACTGTGGCGGGAGCAAATGTTATACCGGTGAATTTGTATTCAAAAGAAGTTTTCAATTATATAATTTTTTCTTTTGCTGCAGTCGGTCTCGTTTGTTAAATTTATGATCAAAGTTGGACCTTGAGAAGCGCGGACGCACTATATTTTAAAATGGAGGGAGTAGTTTTTTTTTTTAGGAACAAATTAATAGACAGAGATCATTGTCTGAATGGAGAACCAAGTTTAGTATCACGCAGATCTTCTACTCTAGTCGTACATTCAGCTCAGATCATCTGCCCGACTGCCCTGCTCTGATAATGTTTAAATCACAGATCAGAGTCTCTCCTTTTGGCAAGCAAAGCAAATAAACTACTGAAACAACTTTGCTGAAACTCATCAACAGATTGGGGCACGCGCAAAGGGTCCGTCTTTCACAGGCACAAAGGGTCGAATGGCTAGCTAGGCGAGCGTTCCATGCATGTGGGCACATGTACACAGGCCAAATTGATGATGAAGATGCTCTGACTCATGACAGTAGTAGGCAGAGCTTGTCCTCGATAGTTGTGTGTGTGTGAGAGAGAGAGTGTGTGTGTGTGACGGGGAGCATGCATGTACTACGTTAACATTGAACCCACCCACGTTAACTTATCAACCGCGCTCCCACCACCATGTATTTGACTACGTGTAGAGCATCTAAAGCCGGCCCCTTTAAAATCATCTTCAAATGTTCACGAACACCCCCAATCGATCACCATGATTAAAGGAAAAAATGACCCAATCGAGCCTCTCATATCATCCATATACGTCCAGACTGTCCATAAACCTTTTAATTTTAAGAGAGTGTTGTATTTCCTTCCTCCTTTTTACAAACGTGGAAAAAATGTGCATTGTGACGTACAAGGAGCAGTTTGGAGGGACACTTGGAGAGTAGAGTCCGTACATGGAGGGGAGGGTGTTGGGGCCGGTGACGCACATGGAGCAGACTTAGCAGAGCAGCAGACTTAGCAGAGCAGTACCACTTGTGTTGGCAACTGTAGTCCGAAAATGAGATGATGTGATGAGACATGGCCTGTCAGCTTTGCATGCGTGGCAGTGCAAGACCTAACCAAGAGACATGCCACTTGAAGTTTACCCGCCCTCACATGCATCACATCAACTTTTCTGTTGTTTGTAGGGTCCTTGTGTACCCTTTTCTATTAAAAGGACGATGCATGTAATCTCCGTCATCGGAACTATTTGTGTTTGCTTTAACTGTGGGCCAGCAAATTAGAATTCTACACCTATAATCCTAAGAGACGAGGGGTGTATAAGTACAACTTGTATTAGGGCTTCTCCTTCCCCCTACAGCTAGCGGCGCCGCGCCGCACCGGGAAAAGCCCGCCATCCGCCTCCAGCCGCCAACAGCAAAGGATCCCCCGTCCCGCCGCCGCGCCGAGGGCAACGCACGGCGGCGGCAGCGACAATTCTCCTCAGCCGACCATTGGATCTGGGTGGCAACGGTCCACTCCGGCCATATGCGACGGTGAGATCTCCGCGACGTCGGCTAGGGCACCCGATCTAGGCCCAAATGGGCTTCAACGGGCCACACGTCAGGCTCTCCTCATGCATCTCCTCTGATCCGGCGACGGCAAGCGGCTTCTGGACTAGACCTGCAACACAAGGACGTCGAGGGCTCCGACCCTGGGCGTGATGGTGGTGGTCATCTCCTTCGCCAGAGGTGGTTGGCCGACTGTGGCAAGTCGCATCCGGTCCTGACATCGAGTGGGGAGGCGATGGTGCAAGTGAAAACCGTCCTATGACTTCGGTCATGGCGGGCGATGGTTGCGTTTTTGCGTCATTATCTTGTTGAAGACATTACCACTGCAGCTATCGTCGACTTCCTTGCGCTGCTCCTGGTGAAAACCTAGACCCGGGTTTCCCGAATCTGACAATGGCGGCTATTTACTCGTCGCTCTCCCTCATGGGGGCATCTTTTTTGGAGCAGCTGTCGGGTGGGGTAGACAAGTGGTGGAGTGATGTTACATTTACCGCATCAAAGACGACGTATCTCGGCGGGGTGGCGCAGCAGGGTCTCGATGATGGATGTGTTATGATGGACGCACGTGGGAAGGTATCGTTTTCTGGCGCCATGGTGGCACCGACGGCGAGCCTGACAAGGTCGATGTTGAGCTTCGTGTGATGTCTGTTTGGTATTCGACTTAGACAATTGCCATCCCTTCATCAACTAGATAGGAGAAGTGACAGATGTTGCCAAGATGGTGTCTTCAGACTTACTGTTGTATTACTTTATATTGTCTTTGTGAATAATTAATAAAATGGATGCATGGATTGCCCAGATGCACAGACTGGGGGTCATCCTCCTTTTCGAATAAAAATCTCCAACGCTGGGTCCACAGACACGGGAGACAAGTCTATGGACACGAATATCGAAGCCGGCCATCCAACGCTAAATGCATACTCCCTCCGTCCTTTAAAGAGTGTACTTCCAATTTTGTTGGAGAGTCAAACTATCTCAATGTTTGACCAAGTTTTTGCAAAAATATATCAATGTTTACGAAACCAAATAGGTATATGATGAAAATATATTTTATCATGAATCTAATGCTACTAATTTGATGGCATAAATGTTGGTGCATTATTGTATAAATACGGTCAAACATAAAAAGGTTTGACTTTCCAACAAAGTTGGAAGTACACTCTTCAAAGGACGGAGGGAGTATATTTCATCAAACACGATATAATTCATCAAAGTTTGGATAGGAAATAGCACAAATCATCTATACATAGGATATAAATAAGTCTAGTATAACAATACTTCAAATTCAGTGAGTAATAGTTCAAATTCAACTAGATTAACCGGATGTCGAACAAGTTTTTTCATGAACAGATCATGTCACCCATCACATATGTATGTAAATGGTCTGCCCTCTAGTCCGGGGTTAGTTTTCATGCTGTAGACGTGGAGTCCCAGTACAACTCCTTTTAGTACTGGTATAAATACAGTTCATCATCGGGGAGACCCAGTACGGCGCCTCAAGAAGAGTAGCAAGCCATCGTTTAATTACACACACCGAACTCGGAAGAAAAATCACTGCACCGATGGCTCCAAATCTCTCCTTGGCATCGGATGCAAAGAGTACAAAATTTTCTTCTTTTAATTGTCAGTTCTATTTTACAAATGAGTTTCTTATGTGTAGTAAGTGTAGAATAACTTCATATCGAATTGTTTTTCCATATTTTATTATTTTCATAAAATATACAAAAATTGGTCTCATCACACATAAAATGATGTTAGTGCAAATATACCATCTGATGCCTTACATTAACTCAGTTTTTTTAATTTATTTTATTGAATCCTTTTTTTCTAGAAATTGCTGTGAACTACAAATGTGCCTCATGATTAGCTTGATTGATGGATTTGAAATTTCATTACACCAATATATACGTTAATTGATCTTGTATCACAGTGTAATTCATATCATGTACTCACACTGTATCAACTTTGTACTAACTCTAGTACAAGGTCATAGTAAGGTTAAGACACTTATTTTGAGACGAAGGGAGTATTAAATAATTTAGTATAGTTTAATTTTATGGTATTTCCTTTAGTGTTAACTCGCCAAGATTATTTTTTTGACCTAATTGTTTAATTCATATCATATACACACACCGAACCATGAAGAAAAATCACCGCATCATCAAGTTACACCGCAACGTGAAGAAGAATCACGGCATAATAAAAAACACTGCTTTACATGACCGTCCAGAGAGCACGGGCCGCTCCAAATCTTATCTCCTTGGCGCCTCTAACAAAGCATCGGATGCCATGCCAGCATTCTCTAGGGTCACTGCAGAAAACAGCAGCAAGGCAGCGTGGGCTCACTGCAGCAAGGCATCAATCATGCAATTAGTGGAGGGGTCGACACTCACGCACATACATGGACTGCTGCATACCACCATCCATCTGTAGCAGCTCATTTTCTCCAGCTCTATCATTGGAAGCAGCACCACCGTCGTCTCCTCCATTTCTCAAGCTCTACTATGGCGATGTGTAAAAACTGAAAACAGAGCTTTACATGACCAGAGAGCTCCAAATCTTACCTCCTTGGCAACTCTAACAAAGCATCGGATGCCAGACATCGTGGGGTCGACACTGCAAGACATCGTGAGGTCACTACAGCAAGACATCAGTTATGCAATTTAAGGTGGAGGGGTCACTCGACCACTCACGCACATTACATGGACTGCTGCACCATCCATCTGTAGCAGTAGCACCGCCAAGTCTTATCAATCAACCCAGCGTCTCCTCTGTTTCTCCAACTCTATCAATCAACCCATCGTCTCCTCCGTTTATCCACCACCAACTCCTCCGCCACAGCAAGAAAAGACACCTCTCCTCCTGGTCCAAGCCATGGAGGCCGCCATGATCCCCTTGATCAAGAAGCTCGGTGGCCTACTCGCCGGCGAGTACAACCTGGAGAAACGCGTGAGGAAGCGCGTCGAGTCTCTGATCACCGAGTTGGAGATGATGCACGCCGTTCTACACAAGATCGGCGCCAAGCCGCCGGAGCAGTTCGACGAGCAGGTCCTCATCTGGGCGGGCAAAGTGAGGGACCTCTCCTACCATATGGAGGACGCCGTCGACGGTTTCCTCGTGCGCGTGGACGACATCGACAACGACCGTGGCTCCACCAACATGAAGAACACAATCAAGAAGTTCCTCAAAAGGGCTACCAAATTGTTTACCAAGGGTAAGGCTCTTCATCAGATTTCCAATGACATTGAAGAAGCTCAGCGGCTCTCCAAGGAGTTGGGTGAGCTGCGCCAAAAGTATATGAGTGACGCGGACACCAAAGGTAATGGTGATGCCATTGACCCTCGCCTGAAGGCGGTGTACAAAGATGTCACAGAGCTTGTTGGGATAGATCACATAAGAGATGAGCTGATCAGGAAGCTGTGTGACGGCAATGAGAGGTCCAAGGACCAATTAAGGACCATGTCTATTGTTGGATTTGGCGGACTGGGCAAGACAACTCTGGCCAAAGCTGTGTATGACAAGATCAAAGTGCAGTTTGATAGTGTAGCTTTCGTTTCCGTGTCCCGGAATCCTGACATGACCAAGATTTTCAAGAAGATCTTATATGAACTTGACAAGAGCAAGTATGCAACCATCAACGAAGCTGCTAGGGACAATGAACAACTCATCGATGAACTGAGAATGTTTCTTCAGGACAAGAGGTATGTATGTAGGAGCAAATGATTATCATTATTCTTTCGAGGAGAGCATGTTGTGCTAGTTAGTGAACATTTAGTCCCAAGTAAGTTTTATTCTGGTTTTATTAAATGGCGCTGATATTAGGCCTTACTTTTTTTTGTTTTATATGAGTCTTCAAATTATGCACTATATATGTTTATCTTCTTTAAAAATTTCTTGAGCTGACAATACCGTCTCTTAATTAATTTGTTGCTGACTTGGCAGAACATATATAGACCTAGTTATGTTGGTTGATTTGCAAACTAACGCACTAAAAAATACAGGTACCTCATTGTAATCGATGACATATGAGATGAAAAAGCATGGGAACTTATTAAGTGTGCTTTTACTGACAACTGCCTCGGTAGTCGAGTGATGACTACCACCCGCATAGGCAGTATCTCTAAAGTATGTTGCTCTTCTGGTGATGATATAATATATCAGATGAAACCACTTCCTGATGATGAATCCGAAAGACTGTTCTACAAAAGAATATTTCCTCAAGGAAGTAAGTGTCCTGATGAATTGGGGGAGGTATCTAGGAAAATCTTAAAGAAATGTGGTGGAGTACCACTAGCCATCATCACTATTGCTAGTATTTTAGCTAGTAATGGTCAAGATCAGCACATAAAGCCAAAGTATCATTGGGACAACATACTTGGCTCTATTGGTCGTGGACTTGCAGAAGGTGATAGTGCAAAGGACATGCAGAGAATATTGTCCTTTAGTTATTACGATTTACCTTCCCATTTGAAGACTTGTTTATTATATCTCAGTATATTTCCAGAGGATTTTGAGATAAGGAGAGACTGGCTGATATGGATGTGGATAGCCGAAGGCTTTGTGCAAGGTGGAGAACAAGAAACTGGACTATTTGAGCTTGGAGAGAGTTACTTCAATGAGCTCGCAAATAGAAACTTGATTCAACCAGTACATTTTGATGCTACCGGCAAGGCTCAAGCTTGTCGCGTGCATGATATGGTGCTTGATCTGTTATGTTCCCTGTCTAGTGAACAAAACTTTGCTACAATATTAGATGGTACACAACAAAGCAAATCTATTTCACATAGCAAGAGTCGCAGATTATCTTTTCAAAATAGCATGTCAGAGCCCACCACCAATCTGGTCAATGCCACAAGTATGCCACAAGTGAGGTCTGTTGTTCTTTTTAGAACAAATATTGATCTAATCAGAACTATTTCATGCTTTCAAGTTTTACGTGTATTGGATTTAGAAGGTTGTGATCTTGGGAGAAATGGCCATGATGTTGATCTCAGGTATATTGACAATTTATTACACCTAAGGTATCTAGGGCTCAGAAGCACTTTTGTTCGTGAGCTCCGTGTGGAAGTAGGAAATCTACAGTTTTTGGAGACACTCGACTTAGCAAAAAATGGATCAGGTATACGAGTGATTCCGCCAAGTGCTGTCCGTCTAAAACGTTTGATATTCCTAGATGCACAAGATGCGGTGTTACCCGTTGGCATCGGGAACCTGACGTCCTTAGAAGAGCTGACTGGAAAATTGGTGGATGTGAAAGAGCTAGGGCAACTGGTCAAGCTGAGAGTGCTCTATCTTTATTGGAATGGGAAGAATGAGAGCATGTGTAATTCTTTGGTGGTGTCCCTGGGCAAGCTGCAGAAAATGCAGCGTCTAACAATTTTCGGTTGTGTATGGTGTGCAAGGTCTGATGTCAGTTGGGATGGTTGGGTGCCCACCCCACAGCTTCGGTACCTTTGGTTTAGTGGATGCACCACCAAATTGCCTAGGTGGGTTAATTCATCATTGTTTCCCCTCCTCTCCTTCATAAATATCGATGTGGAGAGAGTTCAGCCTAAAGTCGACATTCAGATCCTCGGGATGTTTCCCGCTCTTCGTGTTCTCCAGCTTTGGGCCAACACATCTTGGTACACCCGTGTTGAAATGTTTGTTGTTAGCGCTAACGCATTCCCATGTTTGAGAGAGTGCATCTTCTCTGGTTTTCTCACGGTGCCATCTATGTTTTCACGAGGAGCTATGCCACAGCTTGAAATCCTGTGGTTCGATGCCCCAGCGTCGGACATTGCCAGTGGTGAGCTGGATGTCGGCATGGGGCACCTCCCTTCCCTCCGGAAAGTCAAGGTTTACTTTTGGCGTGAGGAAGGCAGCTCTTCGGATAAGTGCAAGGAGGAAGCGGATGTAGTGCTGAGGCATGCAGCGGACATCCATCCCAACCGTCCCACCCTTGAGACCTATCCATATCGTGAGTCCTTTCTCTCAGGTTTCTTCTGTAGTTGTCGGCTCAATTATATTTCTGCAAACAGTACACATGCTTATTCTTTCTTTTTTTTTGGTTTCTCAGGTCTCTAATGATGTCGACGATCTCTAGCCGGTCAAGCTCTGTTTGCTGCTTGACTTGTTCTGCAGCTGGTTTTCCCTTGTTGAAAGCTGCTGTTCTGGGGTATGGCAAATTCTGGACCTGTGTAATATGATATCTGGCAAACTCGCCAAGCCAGGCCGCCCCGATTCTGCAGGATAGGCAGTGGATTCTGCATGACCTCGCGGAACAGAGATGAGACGGAGACACTGAACTAATTAGTGCCATGCAAATGCATGATTTCCTAGTTAGTACCGACGTCCATGTATTTATTTAAGTGTTTGTGTTGTACTACCTGATTGCACGTAGCTAGTAGAGTGTGTTTACAGCAGACTACTCTGCATTACCTACTACTGAATTTCTGAACATGCCCTGCATTACTGAATTTGTGAACATGCTCTGCATTACTTGTGTGACATATCCATTTGATTTAACTTTGTAACTTTGCCGCTTCCTTGTTCACACTAGCAGAGTAGTTCCAACTTGGCCATACTATTTCTTCATTAGTTCACAACTGGGTGCTATATATCTTCTTGCACAATGTCGCCTGTCTTGTGCATTAGTCCTGTATTGAGTTTATTATTACGATGATGGACGTGCAGTCCACACGACATCCTTAGATTCTTCTATCTGAGTGCAGGACTGTTGGTGTAGTTTTACTCCAAATAACTATTGGGGATTAAGGATTAGCGATGGGAAGGGATTTAATCCAATCCCGTCCCCAATCAAATAGCGGTTTGCAATCCCCTTGTGCCTAATGAGGCCTCAGAAATGGGTATTTTTAAAACAATTCTGAACTTCTATTAAAATTCAGAACCATTCTCAAATTTTATGAATAATTTTCAAAATTTAGAAAATGTTATTAGTAGGAAACCGGCTGAAATCAAAGCAAAAAGCGACCAAAAAACTGACTACAAGAAATGCGGCCTCATACATGAATATTTTTAAAATTTTCTGAACATATTTTGAAATTCATGCAGGCACTAATGATCTTTTCACCACATTGAATTCCAAATGTCTTTTGCTTGTAGATAAGCATGAGAGCACTGAATTATCCATATCCTTGAGAAAGCGCACTAATTCAACGCTACTGCCAACATTTATTTATAATACAACTCATAAACAGTACATTGGATGGCCGGAATAACTGAATTCGTTGATACAGTGAAAAGTTTGTTACATTTTTCCTCCAATTTGAGCGTATGTTCAAATTGAACTCCCAGCCGGAGTGATTTATTACACTGTAATAGTCCATGCAAATTGAGCGCAACATCTCCAGCAGCGCTCTTCTTGAGGAGAAAATACCCAAAAAATGTCTTGTGCATTAGTCCTGTATTGAGTTTATTATTACGATGATGGACGTGCAGTCCACACGACATCCTTAGTTTGTCTATCTGAGTGCAGGACTGCTGGTGTAATTTTATTCCAAATAACTATTGGGGATTAGGGATTAGGGACGGGAAAGGATTTAATCCCATCCCATCCCGAATCAAATAGCGTTTTGCAATCCCCTCGTGCCAGATGAGGCCTCGGATATGGATATTTAAAAAAAATCTGAACATTTATTGAAATTCAGAACCATTGTCAAATTTGATGAATAATTTTCAAAATAGAAAATGTTATTAGTAGGAAACCGGCTGAAATCAAAGCTAAAAGCGACCAAAAAACTGACTACAAGAAATGCGGCCTCATACATGAATATTTTAAAAAAATTCTGAACATATTTTGAAATTCATGCAGGCACTAATGATCTTTTTACCGCGCTGAATTCCAAATGTCTTTTGCTTGTAGATAAGTATGAGAGCACTGAATTATCCATATCCTTGAGAAAGCGCACTAATTCAATGCTACTGCCAACATTTATTTATAATACAACTCATAAACAGTACATTGGATGGCCGGGATAACTGAATTCGTTGATACAGTGAAAAGTTTGTTACATTTTCCCTCCAATTTGAGCATATGTTCAAATTGAACTCCCCAGCCGGCGTGATTTATTACACTGTAATAGTCCATGCAAATTGAGCGCAACATCTCCAGCAATGCTCTTCTTAAGGAGAAAATACCCAAAGAAAATGTCTTGTGCATTAGTCTTGTATTGAGTTTATTATTACCATGATGGACGTGCAGTCCACACGACATCCTTAGTTTGTTCTATCTGAGTACAGGACAGCTGGTGTAGTTTTATTCCAAATAACTATTGGGGATTAGGGATTAGGGACAGGAAAGGATTTAATCCCATCCCATCCCGAATCAAATAGCATTTTGCAATCCCCTCGTGCCAGATGAGGCCTCGAACATGGGTATTTTTAAAAAAATTCTGAATATTTATTGAAATTCAGAACCATTTTCAAATTTTATGAATATTTTTCAAAATTTAGAAAATGTTATTAGTAGGAAACCGGCTGAAATCAAAGCAAAAAGCAACCAAAAAACCGACTACAAGAAATGCGGCCTCTTACATGAATATTTTTAAAATTTTCTGAACATATTTTGAAATTCATGCAAGCACTAATGATCTTTTCACCGCGTTCAATTCCAAATGTCTTTTGCTTGTAGATAAGTATGAGAGCACTGAATTATCCATATCCTTGAGAAAGCCCACTAATTCAACGCTACTCCCAACATTTATTTATAATACAACTCATAAACAGTTCATTGCATGGCTGGGATATCTGAATTCGTTGATACAGTGAAAAGTTTGTTACATTTTTCCTCCAATTTGAGCATATGTTCAAATTGAACTCCCCAGCCGGCATGATTTATTACACTGTAATACTCCATCCAAATTGAGCGCAACATCTCCAGCAGCGCTCTTCTTGAGGAGAAAATACCAAAAAAAATGTCTTGTGTATTAGTCCTGTATTGAGTTTATTATTACAATGATGGACGTGTAGTCCACACGACATCCTTAGTTTGTTCTATCTGAGTGCAGGACTGCTGGTGTAGTTTTATT